TCCATAAAGTTGAAATCAAATATTAAATTATTGACTTCAATATTTATATACGCACTTTATTGATGTTTATACGTACTTGTCTCTATAAGGAGATTGTGGTTTTTAGATTTCTTGCACCGTACTTGATTTTTAGATTAATTACTCTGATACGTTTACAAATTTTTATTAAAGTGTTTTTTTTAACAATAAATGAATCAGAAACAGACAAATTTTATTAGTGTCTTTTTTAACAATCAATAATTAGAAATAGATAAGTTTTTGTTTAGTTGAGCGCAGTATTTAAAAAATCGCAAGTTTTTGTTTAGTTGAGCGCAGTATATTAAAAATGCAAGTTTTTGTTTAGTTGAACGCAGTATTTAGTTGAGCGCAGTATTTAAAAAATCGCACGCATAATTTACCGATAATAAGTTAACTTGTATGATTTTCACGTGAGAAAGATCGACATTTGAAATTAGCATAAAATGAAATTGATTTAACTGCAGTTTTAATTATTGAACTATGATCGTATTTACTGTTATATCTGGTGCTAAAAATGAAGATGCATTATGTTATCTTTTAGAAGTAGACGATGAAGTTCGAATAATGTTAGATTGTGGGTGGAATGATGAATTTAATGTAGAAGATTTAAAACATTTGAGAAGGTAGGAAACTGTGCTTTTTCAAAGAGTAACGGAACTGATTAGCAAATCACGTAAGTAATCACTTTTGTCTTCAAAGATGCTAACTTGAGGTTAACGGAAAAAAAATTAGAGTCGCTAAACAAGTTGACGCACTTCTTCTCTCGCATCCTGATCTTTCACACTTGGGAGCTTATCCTTATGCGTATGGACATTTTGGGCTTTCGTGCCCTGTGTACGCGACAGTACCGGTAGTTCACATGGGACGGATGTGCATGTATGATATTTTTCAATCAAAGGTGAATGAAGCTAAATTTGACACTTTTGCGTTGGATAATGTCGATGCTGCATTTGAAAAAGTGAATACATTAAAATATTCACAACCGATGGTGTTGGGAGGTAAATATAAGTTAGACAAAATTTTATATTTTGTATGTTTTATTTTGAATTGATCGGCTCATTTTTGATACTAGGGAAGTGTAAAGGCATTACTATCACTGCATATGCTGCTGGACATACTATAGGTGGCACAATATGGAAGATTAAAAAAGATACTGAAGAGATTGTATACGCCGTAGATTATAATCATAAAAAAGAAAGGTTGTATGGTGATATTTATTTTATTTTACCTTAAAATTTTTTATTCATATGTGAATTCTTTTATGTAGGCACTTAGACGGGACAGTATTACATAATAATGGGGTTGTTTTAGATGCGTTAAGTAGGCCTTCTTTAATGATTACAGATGCATACAACTCTTTAATTATTCATCCTGCAAGGAGATCTCGTGACGCTGCCTTATTTGGTATATTAAACCGGAATATTTCAGTGTACTCTTTAAACAAAAATTTCAAATCCGATTTTAATGTGAATTATATTTTGCAGATACCATTACTAATACAATGAAAAATAAGGGATCTGTCTTGTTACCTACAGATTCATCGGCTCGTGTTTTAGAATTAGCTTATCTTTTGGATCAACATTGGGCATATAATCAATTTTCATATCCACTTATCTTGTTAACTCACCAAAGTTATCGAACAATACAATTCGCCAAGAGTATGCTTGAATGGATGAGTGATGCTATTAATAGACAATTTGATAGCAAAAGAGAAAACCCATTTGAATTTAGGTTCGCTGGAATATCAATTCATAATTATTTAAAATATCATTTAAGTCTTTAAAATATGAATTTATACAATAGGCCATCACCTTTCATATAGTTAATAATGACAATCTAATATTATACGCGCTATTTAGGTATTTGCGTTTGTGTCATAGGTATAAAGAACTTTCCAAATATCCAGGACCTAAAGTTGTCCTTGCAAGTAACTCTAGTTTGGATACAGGATATGCACGAGATCTTTTACTTGAATGGGGAAAACATGAATCAAATGCTCTCATATTGACTGATAGGGGATCACCTAATTCGTTGGCAAGAAAGTTATATAATGAATGGGATAAGCTTAGTCAGTCGAATGATGGGCCTGTTAAGCCCTCTGTTAATTTAAATTTGACAATGAATCTTTTGGTATGTTAAACTTTACGTCCTCGAAGCTATGATAAACAATTTAAATTTTTTACCACGTTATTAACTATTAATATAGATAAAGAAGAAGGTGCCTCTTGAAGGAACAGAATTATCAGAATATAAGTCTGAGCTTCGTAAAAAGCAAGAACGTGAAGCAGCTCAAGCAGCTTTGATTGCAAAAAGCTTATCAATAATAGAGGATGATGAATCAGATGAATCAGAATCTGAGATAGGAGATACAGATATAGAAGAGTTACTGTCCAAGCATTTTGATCTTTATGTACGTGATGCGACGAAATACGGAGGATTTTTTAAACAGACTCAGAGCTATTTAATGTTTCCTTATGTTGAAAAAAGAAAAAGATATGATGATTATGGAGAAATTATACAAGTGGATCAGTTCGCTAGGGGAATTGGAGATGAAAATGCAGGAAATATTGATGTCAATGGAGATAAAGTTGATATGAGTAGTGATAAAGATGAAGTAAGGATTACGCGCTTTGCTTGCGCTATTTTGGAAACTTAAATTTTCAAATGTTTTCTGATGGATCATAAAATTTTTGGTTTTATTAGTTCGACAAAGAAGATTCGACGAATACTTTCCCGGAGTCAAATGTTCCAACAAAATACGTATCTTATGAACAGGAAATTAAATTTCAATGCCAAGTGAGATTTATTGATTTAGAAGGAACAAATGATGGTAGATCTCTCAAAACTATTGTGCCTCAGGTTCAGCCTAGAAAGTTGGTTAGCTTAAACATTTTATAAATTTATAAATTTGTCGCCGATTTAAAGAGTATTTCATGATATTAAAATGTTTTTACCCATTCTTATAAGATTGTAGTCCATGCGTCACCAGAAGCAACTAATGATTTTGCCCAAAGTTGTCTGGCGATAAGATTAATGACGCGAGATATTTACACACCTGATGTTGGAGAAGTTTTAAATGTATCAGCTGCTATAAATTTTTATCAGGTTAAATTAACCGATGCTTTAGTTAGCTCCTTAAAACTTTCAAAGGTAATTCTTTTAACATTTAACTGATCTTGATTGTTTAAGTCTTACCATATTCTGTTCCTGAACTTATGGTGCATTCAAACAATTAGCTTGAAGATTATGATATTGCGTTTGTAAACGGAAAAATATCCTTTCCACCTGATTCTTCTTTACCAATATTGGATGTGGTGCCAATAGATGAACTAAGTTCTGGGACTCATAATCCCGTCTTTGTTGGTGAAGTTAAGCTAACAGAATTGAAACGTGTATTGCAGTCAGAAGGCATAACAGCAGAATTTAAAGATGAAGGAGTACTAGTGTGTAATGAAAAAGTTGCTGTCCGAAAGGTAGATGTACCTTTTAAAATTTTAATTTCCATGAATATAAACTAAAATTTCATTTTCCTGTTATTTCATACGTTTAGACTCCGAACGGTCAATTAATTTTGGAAGGATCATTATCCGATGATTATTACAAAATCAGATCAATAATATATGCACAGCATGCTATTTTATAGACCAAATTTTTTGTATTTGAGAGACACTTGTGTGCTATCAAATCTCTTGGAAAGTAATTGCAGGCTTTTTTTTTTCTTAAAAATAATAATTCCATAAAAAAAAACTATAGAATTCTAAATCTACTTATAATAAATGTGAATTTTCTTCTATCTATAAAGAAGAATGTTTTTTGATTTCTTTCGAATAAGTACCAATCTATATTTATCTTAATGCAAAGCTTGGTGATTATCATACTTACTATTATAATAAATCAATCTTTACTTTTTTTTTTGGCATAATTGAGTTTTAAACTAAATTAATATCATGATTATTAAAGCTTGCTATATGAAGTAGCATGCATGCTGATACAAGACTAAAATGATTGTATAATACTTCTGATATAATATAGCAAAATTCCAAAAAGTGTGTTCTTTTGAAATATATAAAATGAAGCAATTATTTTAATAAAGAAAGAATCTTGTTTTATTTGTAATGCAGTATTATAATAATTTTTTTTACTATATAAGTCTTTATTATCATTATCTTGGCTTTATAGAATTACACGTCACTCTCGATATAACGTAGTACCTCGGGCACATAGTGAGGAATTTTTTAAAATCCGCTTTATCGTGAGTTTTAATAGTAAATCCATTATATCAAGTACAGAAGTAGTATTTATTGTCACGGATTATCGTGAAATTGGATTATCGTGAAATTTGGATCTATTTTATGTACGAT